AGGGGGCTGCTTGCGGGGAAGAGGCCCCGCGGCTGGCGAGGAGGGAGCTGGGTGTGCGGACGAGGGGCGTCCCGCACCGGGGAGCGGCTGACAGATGCCCTGGAGTAAGGGGCTCTGTTTCGCTTTCGGCGCTTTCTGTGCTTTCCAATGTTTCTTCGTCAAAAAGCAGTTCCGAGGTTCTGCTTTAACTCACAGGTGTATTTGCTGTTTTTCATTCCTCCCTCTCTTTTTAAAAAGAAAAAAAACAAACCACCCAAACTAATGCTAAGGAAGAAAAACTTCCGAATGTGGCTACGACACATGCCTTTAGGTGTTTTATACAAATTGCGTGTAATTGAGTGTGTTTTTGTGTGGTTGACTGTTCACTTTCCAATCTAAACAAAAACATTCTTGTAGATTTCATTGAATTAGGTCGCCCGGGGCAGTGGTGGAGTCTCTGTCCCTGGAGGGGTTTCAAAGGTGTGGAGATGTGCTGAGGGATGTGGGTTAGTGGGGACCTGGCAGTGCTGGGGGAATGCTCAGACCTGCTGCTTTTAAAGGTCTTTTCCAACCAAAATGCTTTGGGATTCTGTGAATATCTGTTTGTGAGGAATAACTCTCATGTTTGTTTGAACATAATAAAATATCTGGAACTACATGGAAAATAATACTCAAGCATGTCTTTACATGGCCTAAGATGAACAGAGATTACTGTGCAGTGGTATTTGATCTTTCCTGTTTCAATGTGAATGATTTTGCTTATTGCTTTCAGGCCGTTCAAAATGAATGGTGAAGAGGAGACATGGGAAAAACTAGATGCAGAATTTGATCACTGTGTTGTGGATATGAAGCCTCACGTTCTAAAACTACAGCATAGGTCAGGTAAATATGGCAAAATATCCATATCAAGAAATGCTAATAAGGAAATTCTAGATTACTGTGTGTACTTGTATCTCTTTAACTAGATGCTTGAGGTCTGATGTTACAAGGCCCTGTTTGCAGGGGGAGTTTGTACAACTTCTAAAGCTGTTTTTTTTTTTTTTTTAGGTACCTATTGTTATTGTTTGAGCTTATCTGTCTTATCTTGGTTATGTAACTGTGCTTTTGCATAAACACATTAACATCTCTATTATTAAAAAATTAATTCAGTAGAAGCTGAAAGCTTCTCAAAGGCATTTATAAAATTGCAAGTATTTTTCAGAGATAAGGTTTTTAAACTTTGGCTTAGGAAGGTGTAAAAATGTAAACATCAATTAATAAATTGTTTCATAAAACTGATTAGAACAAAGTGATTAGAACAAACTGGTTATTAATAAAGGCACGAACCATACAAATTAAGGCTCTGCTTTGTAAATGTTTAGTCAAGCTAATAACTTCATCATCTGGTAGCAAAGTTTATGGAAATAGAGATTCTTAAAAGGAATGAGGATGTTTATGTGTATTTAAAATATTAATGCTCATGTGAGCTGTGTGTTGTGGTTCATGGCAGCCCTTGCAGTGAGTGCAGAGTTCCTGGTGACTTATGTATTCTCTGCTTGTTGGAGGTTGACTCAAACATAGAATTTCTAGAAGTCATGTCAGTGTCTGGTAAACATGAATTTACAGAAAATATTTCTGGATTATATGATTTTGGACTAATGTTATAAACTGAGTTTTAACCTAGGCATTTAACATTTTTTTTCCCTTTTTGTTTGGTCATCTGGGACTTTTTGTTTTGCTTTAACTTCTGAATGGAAGGGAAACATGCAGAATTGGTGACTAGTGCTGGCCTCTGTTTTTTTCAGTGTGTTTGATTTGCTCTGAAAATGTGTAGTGAGTATTTCTATATCTGTTTTTAGAACGACAAAGATGTGCACTGTGGATTAAAAAACTCTGTGAGCCCTCGGGAGCAGGCACAGGAACAGCAGGAAGGAAGAATCGGAACCTATATGCAAAACTTCTGCTGCACATGCTGAAACGAGGAGTGCTGGAAGGTCCTTTCACCCATAAACCAGAACCAGGAATGCTGAAAACTTTACCTTCGTATATGGTGTGTGTAACTTCATCACACAAACTTGCTTAAATGTATTCTGAAAATACTTTAAAGTCTTTGAATTAGCGTAAGTGTGAAATGTCTCTCTTCCTATGAAAGAAAACAGCCTTTCACAAAGCTATTGCTAAGCTTGCAGCTTCTCTTCTAAAGACCTGAATGTACTGTGTCAATCATTGGCATCAGCTTTAGTGAGGTAACAGTCCTAATTTATGCTAAAATTACCCATATTGGAAGGAGTTATACTGGAAAACATTTACACCCCTGCATGTTGTACAGCTTCCCATGGGTTGGGAAGGAAACATTTGCACACCTTGCTGATTTCATTGGCAGAATAGTTTTTATGCTGCAGCTACTCCTGCAAGAAATAACGTTATCAGTGTAAAGAATGTATTTGTGTGAATCTACTCTTGTGTTGATTTTGCATTTATTTTAATTGTAGTTGATTTATTTTGATGAACCCAATTCAACAAGAGTTCAGAGTAGCAGCCCAGAGTGCTTACCTGACTGGGTAATGGGAGAACTGGGAAACGGTGAAACCAAGCATGAGGAATGGTGTAAGATGTTCTCTAAAGAGGAATCATCATCTTTAGCAACATCACTTACATATGGGTAAGATTTCTGTATTTGCTTTATTCAGTATTTGATTCATATTTAATAGATGTTTGATTTGATAAGCTCTGAATGTTTCAGTTTGTATGTATGAATTTATTACACGCCATCACGGACTTATCTTGAGTATAGTGTTTGTACTTTATATGGAAACTCTGGTAATGGCTTCTAACTTTTTTGAGCAACTAACTTTTATACTTTTCTCTTATTACAATTCCCTCATTATGTCATCTTCCATGTCCCATAGCTCTGGCCTCTATCCCTTTCTCTGGTTCTCCTTCCCCTTTCAGTTGCAGACAGTTAGCATGGAAAATTAATAGGCCAAAGTAATCATTTGAGAAATTTAGGAGGAGCTGAAGAGAGGGTTTTATTGTGGTTTGGACTGGTGGTTACTGGGGGGTACTCCTGACTTACACTAAGCCTGTTTGCTAATGTAGAGATAATCATGGTCCACTTTTTTTCACTGTTATCTCTTTCCATGTTAATACTCTCAGTAGACTTGGTAACATGCTCTGTAGACTTCAAAAGTAGATGATAGCTTTTGTTCTGACATTCTAAATACCAAATAAGCTGGTGCTGTGGTTATGTTTTTCAGACTTGAGATATTATGGTGGCAGAGCACAGTGGTTACAAGGCAAGAGGCAGAATTCATACCAAGTTATTTAACTGGGAGAGGGAAGCACAGACAAATGTGGACAGGCAGTAAGGAAGAAATGATGTGGTAAAGAAACTATATAGACACAGAAGACTCTTGGGCCAGATTTTTCTTACACAAGATCAGAACAGTTGCTGTCCCCTTGGAGTTCTTGCACAGTCCTGTTTTCTGCACGTTGACATATGGAAACGGGAAAGTGGCAGTAACTAAAAAGTGGAGGTGGATTAATCTTCACTGTTTCTTTACAGTTCAAAATGAAAGGAACATACAGTAAGCAAGTAAAAAATGTGGGGAGAGTAAATGTGTAATATTAAAAAAAGGTAGTCTAAGGTCATAATGCTGTAAGGGGCTTCTATAGCAAATAGTTTTAAATGGCTTTTTTCTATAGAGAATAGAAATATAAACATGGTAGATTTAAAGGATGTTCTATCATTGCTCACAGGTTTTTTAGAGGAAACAGAATAGTGTCTCCCTGCAGATAAACAAGTGTCAATATTCTGTGACAAAGGAAGGAAAGTTAGATGGGTACAAAGAAAGAGGAATTTGATCCATCTTTTTTCAAACATGTTAGTTCTTATTAAACACATAGCTGTTTGTCTTGTGTTTCATCCTGGCTTCTTTATGAAGTACCAAGATTTCTTTATATTTCCCATAAGCTTCATGAATCTTGGATTAAAGAAGTTGGACTGGACCAGCTACAATTGTTAAAGCTTGAGGCTAACAATAATTGTGCTGCCTGTGGGATGCTCTGCCATGTTGTTTTGCTCTCCTGAGTGGTGAGGATTGCTTGCAACGACTCCATCCTTGTCTGAACAATCTCTTGGATTTAAAATGTTTTGAGTTATATCATTCTGTTTACTACAAATACACGTGCTTTGTTGGTGACTAGCACCCCCTATGCCTACATCCTGCATGTTTGTCATTAGGATAGTGCAAAAACTTCAGCACTGCTCATTCACTGTGGTACAGCAGAATCCTGGGTATTGATAGCTGCACCTTGTTACAGCAATCCATCAAACAGTCTCTTTTTGGAGGTTTACAAGAGCTCCAAAGCTTTAAGCTGTGTCCTTAACGTTCCAGTCAGTTGGGTATAGAGCTGTTTACAGAGCAGGTAAAGGGAGGAAATGTGTCAGGGTATTGAGGCTTACTTTTCCTGTTGGTTTAGAAAAATGTGGCTGCAGAAGGTGTGCCAGCCTGACCAGTTGGACACTTGAAAATTGTAGGCTTTATTCTGTTCTATTTTGTGGGAATCATAGGTAAATTTTAGTTTAATCTATATTCTGTTCTTAAGTATTTACTTTCTTTCTAGTTTTTCTCATGTCATGCAACTTTGCACTGATTATCAAGATTTATGTTCCTTTTTTCTATGTGGCTGCATGTCAGTCATGGGTGGAATTGCCACTTGTTTGCTCATTTGCAAGTTTAGTTAATGTTTAAACTCTCTGAAATCCTTGGTGAAAGAAGCGCTCTTGGCAGAGTGTGACTATTACTCAAAACCCAGCAGGCTCTGTGCAAGAGGAAGTGTTTCCTCTACTTCTATATGAAACTTCTGGTTTGGTTTCATTGCACCACAAATATGCTCACAGGTTTGGTTTCACAAGTGTAATGCTTTTTTTATGTGTTCACTTATTTTTCATAGGTCATTATCATTACCTGTTCTTTTGGGGTTTTTAGGCACCCAGATCTTTATGCTATGTATCATAGTGTCTTGCTTTTTGTAATTTTTTTTTTCAGCTGTGATTTGGGTAGATGACAGATAGACACGCTTGCAAGTTCCATCATGTTGATATTGAGCATTGGGGAAACTTTTCCTTTTATGTATCCATTGACTACCTATAATTCTAATGGTCATTGAAGAAGTTGCTTGTTGTTCTGAGGCATCCCCTCTTTTCAAGTCCTACAGTGCTGATACTGAAGATCTTCTGGTTGCTTACACTCAAGTGTTCTGATAGGGACCTGTGGGTTTGATAGCAGCCTTGTGGTTTAAGGAACAGAAGTGGAGAATGGAGAAATTGCCAGCTCTGTTACCTTGTTCCTGCTTTAGCTTTGGTGATACAAGGAGCTGTTGGGAAGAGGTGTCCAAATACCCTCATCTAAAAAAACCCCCCCAAACCTATAGGCTTGACCTTATATAAACAAGGCATGTGTTATGATTTGGAAATACTTTCTGAGACCTTAATTAAATCTTTTAGATAGCTTTGTGCCACACCAAGATACCCAGCATAGATCTGGTCAGATTGTCACTGGGAGCAGCACCATCATGGTCAAGTATCATCCTGCATGTTAGAAGCAATATAAGCACAACTCTCCCCTATTAGGCCCAATCTAGCATACTGATATCTCTGCAAAGCCATATTTGCTGCACAAAAACACACCTAATTCCTCTGAATTCCCTCCTTATACTGTCACCTGGGGTGTTATTTGAGCAGGGTAAGGCAGCTTGCTCCTCCCTCTGCATCCACACAGTGCTGGTCCCCGTTTGGGGAAGACTGAGGTACAGTTGTGTCTACTCTGTCCCTTGTATTCTTTGCCATTTTATTTTTCCCATTTGCTATCTGGTTACAGCAGAATATTGGAAATCTGACCCATTTTCCCATTCTGTATCTGAACCCACGATTCAGCTTAGTGTGGCAAAGTTCCCCAAGTCATGGGCAGGGTAGCAAAGCTTTATTTCTTCTACTTTTTCCTTTTTGTCCTGTGGGACTGTTTCAGTACCTGTGTTGCTGATCAACAGATGGTTCCCAAGGCTCTGGTGAGTTCTCTGGAGCCCCATATTTCATATTATTTCACATCTGGAGAAGCAAGTAAATGGAATAAATTACTGGTTTAAAGAAATCTGGAAGTGAAACTTGTCTGGGTAGGCATTGCTCTGCCATGGGTACTCAAAGCAAGAACAGAGCTGTGTCTGGGGAAACCAGAGTTTGGGCTGGCAATTATCAGAATTTCTAACACTGTAGATGACATAGTTTAATTTTCATAGCAATCAGAAACATGTTACCTGTGTGTTACACAGGAGGAAATACTGAAGGTGAAGGTTTCAGCTGATATGTTTTGTAGAAATAGCTTCTTTAATACTTATTTACATATCTTTCTATCAGGATGTTAGCTATACTCAACATATAGACTCTGTCTTTAGTATTTACAGTTTTGAATGAGCTGTCAGAGCAAGGAAAGATGTTAAGCATGAAATATTTCTGGACTCTGCAGCTTGTGGCCAGAGCCAGCAGATGGTGATGTTGTTACATGAGCCTTGTCTCTGCTCAGACTGGGCGCTGGGGGAGCTGTACCTGTAGGCAAGAGATACATGGAGTTGGGTGCAAATTTTGCATTCCAGCCGTGGCTCAGTTCTTACAGATAGGCTACAGCATTTTCTCAGAATAAATTTGGGGTTGTTTATATTTAGAGTCCCTCTTTTAAACAAATGGAGAAGTTCCTTTTCAGAGTTATTTTTCCTCTTGCGACACGCACGCTTCTATGTGTGAAGATTTTGGCTATTCTGTAAGAAGTTATTAATCTGCCTAAATAAGAAGTAGACAGACAAGCCTTATTTGCAGATGAGGGTGTGAATGACTTAAGACCAAACCAGCTGTTGCTAGAAAGGTACAGCTTTATTTTGAAACAGGAGAGAATTAGTGTTAGGAATGTGTAGTTTAGTTGGAACAGAAACCTTGTCTTTTTGACCCCACAGGAAAATTCTACTGTATGTTTAAAGATTTTGCCTGAAAAACATTGTTAGAGGTTAGTGTGTGGCTGTGCTGTACCAGGAGGAACCAGTGAATTTGTTCCTAGTAGGAAATTATTTACTAATCTCCTTTATTAGCAGCAAATTGCTTCCTTCTCCCATGCTAGCTCACTGTTTTGGCTGAAGCAGGAGGTCACAGGGCTGGTGTCAACACTCTGACCATTCTCCACTCACCTGCCATGGGAGGAGAAAGAAATAATATTGTCATTGCTGGAGCCTGACTTATATTAGGAGAAGGCTGGAAAAGGCAGTGAATGGGTAATATATGCTTGATAAGAGCAAAATTGCAGTCCATCCTTAATGATCTTTTCAAATTCTGTTTATAGACTCAAGTAAACCAATTTCTTTTTCAATTCCTCTTCAAACCAGCAAATATAGAACTAGGAATAGATCTGGAATTTCCCCCCTCATTTTGTCAATTTAAAAATATTACAGGTAGCTTGGGTTGGTTTGAGTGTTATTGATATTCCTTAATCTCTTAATAATAGGGGCATGAATTCTGTTTTATTTTAAACAGTTGGCACTTTATTGAATTGTTAGATAAGCTGAGTACTGTTCAAAAAAAGTGTAAAAAATGCAGTTTTACTGACAGGCAAAGGTTTGTCTTAATGAGAGATAATTTTGTGCCAAATGGAATCTTGATAAGAAATGCATGATTTGAATGCTAGAGGCAGTCATTGTATTATTGGATTTCTTTTGATCTTTTTTACCTTTTAGACTTTGCTTACCTAAACTATTTATTGCTTTCTAATTGTTGTTTTGCATCCCTATGCATTTGTTGGTATTTATTGGTGCTGGAAGGGAAGGGATGCTCCCAGTTGTTCTGGTTCCCTCTTCCCTGCTGTTTTGATGGAAGCTTCATGAAAAGTTTGTCTGTGTTCATCTTGCTGGGAGTGGTTTACATTGTACATCCAACAGTTGTCTTTATGTTTATAAACAATGAATCTCGGTCTCTTTTGGGTCTAATTTGCTG